TATTAATTTTGTACTTAAAATATTCTAAAAGAAACATAACAATATTGTTTTATGTACTTTCACTTTTCACGTATAGTATAACTACTCTTTAAGATTAAGTACTGTGTATCTCAAAAACCAGAGCTAATAAAAATTTTTCATTGTTATTTTCGTTTTTATCACCCCAAAATTAGTAGAAATTGACTAATTTAGTGTAGGAAACATTCAAAAAATATTTTTTGTTGTGTTGTGTAATTAGTAATTATAATTACCTGATGATAATATACAACTTTTTTATATTCGAGCTGTTTTACTTCATTTCTTTCCTTTTTTTAATGAATTTTTAGTCAAGACACAATGCACTCAGAAACTGTATCTTGTTTTGACTTGGATGATCATTTTTATTTTTTCTAGATTTTGAATGCAATTTCTTTTTTCTGGTTGAGTGGAAGAGCAGACATGAGTACTCATGTGAGAGCAAATAGCCAAACTCAATCTTTTTACTACATTTGAAATTATTGATATATCTGAATTTATGTAAACATGTGGTAATTGGAGTCATTTATTATTATTATTCCACATGAAAAGAGGAAACATTTTAGGTAATAATGTTTGCTATACTTATCAAATTTATCTCAAATATAGTATCAAATTGTTATAAATTTATTTACCCCAACATTCAACCAAATATTATCAGTTACATCTTACTAACACTAGAAAGAAAATTTGAACAAAACGCTAGGATTCACTTTTTGACAAAAAGGATTGCCAATCATACAACAAATATTCACTGTTTTGTCAAGCGAACTATTATATTATGTTGAAGAATGTCAGCATAAAATTGTTAGAAATTTTATCTTTGTTCATATTGGTAACATTTTCATTTCTCTGTATATCAAATAAGTATGAAATCTGTTATTGCATCTGACATTCTTTACAAATTCAAGAATTTGTTGTGTATTGTACTTTAAAGCTCGTATAGGTAGTACAGTTCAAAACAGTTGTCCGACCGCTCATTGAGCACGGACACCCGCAAAACTTACCAAGTCTTAATTGTGCGTCTAGTTTGGACTGTTCTAGGACCGTCCTGATAGGTTACCCTAATACGACTAATATCTGTTTCTATATTACATATACACTATTAGGTAAGTATATTCTAATTTAGAGGAAAAACATTCTTACCTATCTGCAGGAACACCAATATATTGAGAAACGCATTCAAATAAGGCTTTAGCATGAATTTTGTTTTCTCTCACTCCTAATGATCCAATGCTCATTAGAGTGGCTTGTGCTGCAGGTTCCTTAGTACCTCCCCAAGACATATCAACTCCTCCAACGACTGTTGCACAACAATACTAAAAAAATATATCAAAAGGGAATTCAACAACCTGAAGATATTATATTTAATTTACATTTATGGGTTTACCCAAAGATTTTGATAAAATTCCACATATCTTTGAAGAAAAATCAGCAGGGATTTTATCTTGAGGAACATTCGTTTCCAGTCGAAAATGAGGCATATTTTGAAAGGACTAGTCTTTGTAGTAACCGTTCTCGACATCTCGTTATAGTTGAAACTTGGCTCTTTTGGTTTGGAAGGGGAAAATCTTAATCTCAATATCTACATTGTAATTTGAAACTTTCGATTCACACTCAGAATGCATACGTTTTCTTTATTATAACCCAAACTAATCGTCCTAATCTGATGCTATTCACAATATTCACATAGAGGAGTGCTGTACGAATTGTCAACGTTGAAATTTCATGAAAAATTACTGTCTTTAGAATTTTGATTAGTTCAGATAGAGCATGGCGTGATCTATATGTAACATCTATATGTATATGTACACTATTTTGATTTTAACAAGTACAATAACCCCAGTTGAACTGTGAAAACAGCTTGGAATTACTTAAATTTACTCAAAACTTGAATTTACTCATAATATAAAATTGAAAACGCTGAATGTTTAAACCCACCAAGGACGTACTCCTGACTGTATTTGATGGACGAACAGATCGTTACTTCCCTTAATTTCAATTTTTCAGAGGACGTTTCACTCGTTAAAATTGAAATATTCGATGTTTTCCAAGCATTGTTAACATTGCCATTGTTAAATGGGGACTAGAAATTTGAAATAAGTTTTCTGTTATTATTGATATTTCTTCATTACTGGAATTAATTGTATTTTTATTGATAAATGATATGAATTTAATTGCGATGAGTTTTTCTAATTGTTCATAAGGTAACCATGAGTGACGTTAACGATTGGATGGAACTAGTCTAATTCCAAATTAGAATTGTAGCCTATTTTCAAATCTAAATATTTCAAAAAAAGTTTGGGAAACTGTTTGAAGTAAAACTTCCTCACGCGCGCTTGACTTGGAAAATAAGCTAGTAAAAACATGACGGGAGCGTTACCAAAAGTGTGATCGGGCAAGGCGAACGGATGTTCGTGAAGACAGAAAGAGAGAGTTACGTTTCGTATATTACTGTTGGCGCAAGAGAGAGGTGCGAGAACACTTTTACGGTCGAGTAGGCTCTGAAGAATCAGGAGAAAACAATTATACGCTGTCACTAAATTTAGCAGGAGATTTCAATGTTAAATTCACGTCCGAAGATGGTCAACTCTTGGTAAACTTCCTACAAGATGAATTAGAACTATAAATGAATAATAAAAGAAATGAACTTATCACAAGACATGGAACAACATTCAAAGCAGTTTTCTTTAGATATTTTCTGATTTTCATTCAAAAACATATGTATCTTATTTCTCATACCATAAGCCTATTGTGTCGGTCTTACTTATGTATTCGATAATAAAAATAATGAATGAAAATAAAAATTTGTTCAAAAATGTTAATATCAATGAAAACCCATAATATATCCACATGTTTCTAGAGATGATATGAAGTCGAGCAAGGTTATTAATGCAGTTGAGCTGCTGGAAAATAATTCCATGAAAATCAGAAGATGAATAGATTAAGTTTCCTAAGAAGTATTTTATTGATTAATAATATAGTATATTGTTATCATAAAAATTTTCATTATTATCATTATCATAGACTGCAGGCAAATCTGGCATCTGTTTGTAGTAGTCGTAATTGTGAAAAAGCAATAAGAATTTTTCGTCAATCAGTTGAGAATAAACACCTGCGAACATGTATGTTAGTAAGTTAGTGTGTTGTAATGTTGTTGCATCTGAAAAGCGGCTGGGTTGGACGCGCAAACCAATACTTTTCATTCGTTAGAAACTCTCCGACACGCTTTTATACGTTTTATATTATTTACACAGTATGCAAATATATTGCATTTTGTCCAGACGGAGAGCGAGTAAAAACGTGGAACAGTTTGAATAAAAAATTCAAAGCGTTTCATAATATTCTACATTACTACAAAACACCTATTTAATTTTCCATGAAATTTGTTTTACTGTCGAACAGTTTATATCTATTATTCACTTGCTGAGGAGTGTATGAAATGTCAAACGCTGACAAATCTACTCGTGGCGGAAATCTACTTGTGACAAATCTACTGGATGCGCAGTAGTCCTAAAAAAAATAAAATTGACAGACATGAGCGATACTACTGGCACCGTATAGTAGTAAACACTATCGATTACGGTGCTATAGGTTGTTCACGTTAAGAAGAGAATGACGTCATAAGATGACAAGTTACGACGTTGCCAACATGTGCACTATTTCGAACTTTTAAATTTTGTTGTACTGTTGATATGTTTTATTGCTATTATCCTTACTTACTTCTAGTATTTGTTGAGACTATTTCGACAATGCTTTAGGCATATTGAATATACGCAGGTCTTATCAAAAGAAATGATCAGTCCTGAAAAGAAAAGAAAGACTGACAGTTTTCGAGTTTTTTTCGATTCAGCAACGTCTGAAATTTTACCATCAGTTGAGCAATTTACAAAATGAAATGTTACTAGTTTCATTGCTGTTGAATGTATTTCAGTGGAAATTTTAACGTTGTTATGTTGGATATACAAAATTACCAAAACTGACGTCATTCTCTTCTTAACGTGAACAGCCTATACTGGTCTATGCGTCAATGATATGACTTAAGTGACATATGTTATACATACACGGAGTTGAAGAAAAGGGTAAAGAAGAGGAGACATCAAACTCCAAATAAGAATTTGATTTGACAACGTAATTAAAGATTGCATAAGTATGACTACACAGTAAAAAGAGCAAAGTAAATAACTTGAAGTCATCAATAACCTACCCTAATGTCAGTGTATTTTCTACTCACTAACTAAAACCAGTAATAGTAAATGAAGCTCATTCAGCCACAGTAGAATATACTGTGATTCAGCATTAGACAAGGATTCCAGTAAAACTCTTTTTGGCTTATAAGGATATCCCATGTTTGACAATTGTGAGATATTTTTTTTAAGTAACTGAATAAAATGGTTATTATTTTCATTATCAACATTCTTATAGGGCTACTACCATTGGGTTTTTTGGGAAATATAAAATACTGTACAAGGTGAAATGGGCATCAAAGGTCTTACAACATTTGTTAGGAACAAGTCAGAATTTTGTATGGAAAGATTTGAATTACATGACACAGATATTGTAATTGATGGAGATGCTGTGCTTTGTCAACTTTACTTGAGACATACATTCCACAAGAATGCTTGTTTTGGAGGCGATTATGACAAGTTTGGAAACACAATCTACAAGTTTTTTCTAATGCTTTCTGAATGCAAAGTGACACCCTATGTAATACTTGATGGAGGCTACGAAAGTCGTAAAATGGATACAATTCTAGAACGTTTCAAAAGCAGGCTAGAAAAAGTGACAGTACTGAATCCTAGAACTCAAAATAAAAATACGTCTACACCATTATTCATAAGAGAAACGTTCGAGGACATTGCTGTAAAACTCAATATTAAAATGGTGAGATGTGATTTTGAAGGTGATAGAGAGACTGCAAGTATCGCAAAAGTACTAAATTGTCCAGTAATGAGTAATGATTCAGATTTTTTTATATTCAATGTACCGTATATTCCATTTCTGAATTTGAAGATGAGTGTTATAAGGTCTACAAAATTAGACCAGAAAACTAACAAGGAAATATCTTATAGGTATATTCCATGTGAGATTTATAAGATTGATAAATTTATTGCTTGTGTAGGAGGAATGAAGAAAGAAAATCTTCCTCTTTTATCTGCAGCAGTGGGAAATGATTTTATGAAGGGGGTGAGTTTATCAAAATTGAATTTGTGTAAAGGAAATGAAAATAATATTAATATGATTGAAAGAATAGAAATTCTTATAACTTGGTTGACAATGGAAACTAAAGAAAGTGCTATCGAGAAAATCATAAACTCTTTTGATGATTCAGAAAAGCAGTCTGTGTCCAGAGAAATAGAAAATGCTATTAATGGTTATACATTTGTTAATAGTAAATATTTGAAATATTTACAGGATAACCCAATAGATCCAGAAGATATCGATAAATTTGAAGATCAGCTAGACTCGACATATAATACTTATGAAAAGTTGACTTCTAGTTTTCCTGCTCCATTCATTGAGAATTTCAGAAAATCATTGTACCCTACCAGATTTTTGGATATTCTTACCCAGAATAAGTATTACAATTTCAAGCCACAAGTTGAACTGGACTGTTTGGGACATAGTCATACTCCAAGTATTGAAATCATGTCAGCAGTTCAAAAAGTTCTAACTAGCTCGCAAGAGAATTTAGTATGCCTAGTAAGAATTGGCCAAAATGTTGGTGAACAGGTGCTGCCAGTTTGTAAGCATGATTTACCTAGCTTTAGAGAATTGCAAAAGATGGATAAAGACGCCAGAAAACAAATAATTTTGAGGGTAATTAATATTGACAACAGTTTTATTACGAATACCCTTACGTCGTTTCCAGAATCCTGGCATTTATTTATCCTGACTCTCAAATATATGATTAATAAGTCAATAATATCATGGCCTCTAGTTTATACTTTGATAATATGTAAGATAGTCATCAGTCATTTGGACCCAAAAATAGGATTCCATCGCACCGTTCAAACATTTAACCGACAATACCTCTACCGAATCCGTGAAATGTGGGGTCAGAAAAGGACTCTGCCAAGTACATACTGGAATGTTAAAGATTTCCTGAATGCCATTACTTTTGAAGATGCTCTGCTAGTTATGAGCCAGGTTATGCCTTATTTCGAAATGAATAATCAATTACTTAGAGATTACAGATCATTTGATAGGGCTTTAATGCATACAACATCACAATTCCAAAGTGTTTTATTACATGTTAAATCTCTGAATCAATTATTTAATATGCCTTTTGCAGACTTCCTCATATCTGATTGTTTCAATGGTACTTTTGTTTACAACCTCACAGAAGATTTGACAAGACGACCTGATGTTGATAATTTCTTGAACTACTGCTTCCGAAAATCTCCTTTAATTATGCATATTTTTGAACTCATTGTGAGTTCTGTAAAAGGAGAATCAAGAATACCACTTGGAGAAAAAAGAAGAAGAATCGATGTTTGTCAGTCTTCTCATATGAATGTAGTTTATAATTAGGTTTTATGGTTTTTTCAGCTCCTGGTGTCACAATTTTAGCAACTGAATTCCAATTTTACCTGTAAATGAATCTGTATTATGTGGTTTTTCGTGTTTTACATAGGTTTTTTGTGGGTATTTCCGGTATTCTTAGTTATGCCCTATATTTTTCTGTCATAATTATTGCTCGTTAAAAATTGGTTTTTATTGATCAGATTTTCAATACTCTCTAAACATTTCATCATCGAAAATATGATTTTGTGGGTTCTATGTTAGTCTATATTATTTATGAATGCTATTAATATTCATTTGACAGTGATTTCAAAATTTGGAAAAAACTTATTAGAATCAATTATATTTGTTTTTAATTATTTCTCATATACTTCGAAATTTGTCCAGAAGGTGGAATTTAGTTTTTTTATTTGTTTTATGAAAAATATGATCCTATGGGTAACGTTTTTATCATAAATCATGATATTTTATATTTAAAAAGTTTTATTGGGTAGCAGGATCAAATTATCTGAGAAAAACAACTGATTTCTTGCCAATGTTTTCAATTTAAATTCTTCTAAATTTAAAAATTACCAGAAGTGTGAGAAATAAAAAAGATTAGAATTGTGTAGTGTTGGTCATAATAATTTGTTTGCTTCAATGTTTTTCTCAAACGTTGGATGATTTTTAAGTTTAGTTATAACTTTAACATGGAAAATCTCGTTTTCGAGCCCTGAAGAAGAATTTAATCAAATTCAACACGTTGGCGAGAAAATCATTGTTTTTTCTGAGATAATTTGACACTGTTAGCCAACAACTCTTTCCATATATGAGTCTTTTGGATCACTAGACTATTTAACTGATGATATTTTATGTTAAATAGGAATTATTGTTCTTGGGGATATTCTAAATTCAGCTGAAATTGTCTGCCTGGAGTTGTCTGCAAACGTCTCCAACAACACGAGTGTCAAGTAATTGAATAGAACTGGCCGATACTTGAAAATCCATATAAAAAAACTAATCAATACAGTTTATTGTATGATTTTTCACTATAAAGGGTTTTTACAAAAACCGCGACACGTGTTTCGCTATACAATAGCTTCCTCAAGCATAAACTGAGAGTTACTTCTAAATTACAACCATTTTATACTCTAACCTATTACCTACTGGTTGTAATTTAGAAGTAACTCTCAGTTTAAGCTTGAGGAAGCTATTGTATAACGAAACACGTGTCGCTGTTTTTGTAAAACCCTTTATAGTGAAAATCATACAATAAACTGTATTGAATAGTTTTTTTTGAGTGTCAAGTGTTTGGCATATATTTTGAATTCTCATATAAAATGTAGTTATGAATGAATATTTGTAGTTTATGCTAATTTAACGGGTATCCATTTTTCAACAATAATTCTGAAAATATTGACACCAAATTTGCCATGGAATTTTTTATATCATATGGAAATATTTTTTGGTTCTTCTTTGTCTGTCGATGGCCTTTTGAATGATATTTGGTCCGTAGCCATTTTGTCGCAGAGCCTTTGTTGTCTCCCCCAATTCTGTTGCCCTGTTTGTTGGTTCTGTTAGGCGGAAACTGCGGGATATTAACGTGTTGGCTACGGATTGTAGCTGGGTAGGGTGGTGGTGTGATGCTGCTTGTAGGTAGCGTCTACTCTCAGAATCACTGGATGAACTGCTAATATCGACAAATACCCCACAATTGCTGCTGGTGACTTCAACGCCAAGCACAATCTGTGGAGTAGGCTCACCAATGCGAACGGCTGAGCGCTTCATGCGCATGCTGACAGGCATGAGTATCGAGTGATGGGTCCAGATGAGCCCACGTTCTACCGCGGGGATTTGAGGCCTGACGTGCTTGATATCGCACTGCTCAGGAACGTCTCTATGTCCTGCGAAGTGTACACTTTGTCAGAACTTGACTCAGATCATAATCCAGTCATCCTGATGCTGGGTGATGATCCCCCTCCTCAGGATTATCGCATGAGATCATCCACGGATTGGAAAGCCTTCAAGGCTCACCTAGTGGAGACACGTACAGACGAGGTGCTTCAAACTCGCAACGGTCTCGACGCGGCAATGGCAGATTTCGAATTGTCTGTGAACAACGCTTTCCGCGCAGGATAACGAACCTTATCAGGGAAAGAAGAGTTTATCAGCGGAATATCTAGCCTGGATACAAGGCTGTGGCAGCAGGATGGCCAACCAGGTTAAACAGGCCATCACTGACTATAGAAACGAGAGGTGGAGCGAGTGTTTAGAATCGCTCGAACCTGGGGATGACGAGTTCTGGCGAGTCATCCGCAGGCTCGAGAAGAGGAAAACCGCTCCCTCCCTCTTCACGGACAGCGCGGCATATGCTACTCCCCCGCCGAGAAGGCGTTGGCCTTTGCAGACACAATGAAGATTCAGTTTCGACTGATGGGAAAATGATGACGACGTGATCCGTCCAGCTTCGGAGGAAGAACTGAAGGGGTACATTAGGGCCTCCAAACCCAAGAAGGCTCCGGGAATTGATTCAATCAACAGTAGGTTGTTGAAGCAGCTCCCGGAGAACTTCATCAGATACCTGCTGGACATTATACACAGCTCAATCACTCTCAGATACTTCCCTCTAAGATGGAAGCATGCCGTAGTTGTCATGATCCCGAAAATCATCGTCCGATTAGTGTGCTTTGCTCAACGGCGGTGTTGGCTGAACGTGTTGTGCTGCAAAGGCTAACAGAAGAAGTTGAAGACCGAAATGTTCTGCCTGACGAACAATTCGGCTTCAGAAGGACACACTCCACCTAGCTGCAGGCCCTGAGACTGGTCGAATTATCCAACTATCGGGCGTTGGCGGTCGTCTACATGCAACGCGCATTGGACGACCTCGAACGCTGGTACTTTGACTGGAAGATTCGAGTGAATCCAGAAAAAACTCAGGCGATAGATTTGGGGAGACGTAAAGTTTCTCCAGACACAAGGGTAACGCTTTCAAGCAGGGAGATCGAATGGCATACGCGAGTAAAGTACTTAGGTCTTTGTGTAGACCGCCGATTCACCTAGGCAAATCACATTGATTATATCAAGAGCAAAGTGCAGATGAGGATAGCTAAACTCTATCCTCTGGTTAATAGAAATTCAAAACTCAATCTTAACAATAAGATTTTACTATACAACACGATGTTCAAGCCTGTCATCATGTATGCTTGAGATGCTTGGGGACAAACCCCCCTGTCAAACCTCTCCATTTTGGAAAGGTTTGCAAAACAAACTTCTCAGGATGCTGGTGAATGCTCCATGGTTCGTGCGGAATGAAACCATCCGCAGAGATTTGAAGCTGTTAGCTATACGGCAGTCCATTCAATCGAGGAATCAGAGAGTTTTCGAGTCAGTGGAAACTCATGATAACCCATTAGTTAGGGAAGCCCACTCGATTCAGGCTCGACTCGATTCAGAAGGCCCCGTCGCTCGGTTGAGTGAAGGCCCCACGACGTCTGTTAAAATGAACAGTTTGTTCATCAAATACCCCAGTCAGGAAGGGGTACACAAGGCCAGAGCGGCATAGAGGTCATTGACCTTTATGTCGCCACCAAAACACCTTACGTTATGAACCATTCGTCCTCCTGACGAATCTCAATTGAAAGGATAAGGGAAAAAATTTCCAACCTGATGAAAATGAAGATGACTATGACGATCACTAAACAAGTCAGTATCATCAGGAAATTGACGTGCGTTGAGAGAAAGTTCCTTAGTACTGATAGAAAAAAAAATTTTAGATTCATTTTATGACAGAAGGCATGAGATGCCTTCTTTTTTTGTGAACACATTAACAGTCTGTAGTTTATGTACTACTGTGATGTCTTGCGCGTGTTAACAGGTAAGATCTCTTTACGTAGCTTGACCAAGTTTCGACTTTTGATGGTTGGTTGCGTGGAAACGACAGCTGATTAATGAAAAAATCATTGCAAGGGGTCATATTTCCATTTTTTGTATTTTGTTATTCAATAACCGTATTAATATTGAAACTGACGAATTCATCTCCTATGAAAAACGCCATCTATGGTATCGTAATCGACCGAAACTTTTATGTAGATCGAAACAGTTCTATCTGTAGTGGCTTACTGCACCAATACTTAATCAAGTGACACTCTCTCTCAGAATTGTTTTGTCAAGGACATTTCAGTGATGTATGTTCTTGGTTCATTGTGAATGAACAAAGTACTAAAATTATTAACAAAAAATGAAAAATTAAAAGATTTCAAACCAAGTTACGTCACGACGTTTCGATTGTTAGTATCCACAATCGTCTTCGGGTGATAACTGGACTTATTCCTGCACGTCGTCTTCATTTCAAACAGGTTGGAGCCTGGCTCCCTTACCTTTTTTCTCCGAGATCTGACTATTTATACGTCATTCTAGTGCTTTCACCTATCCCCTCTTCCCTCTCTCCGCTTCATTGGTTTTAGCGGGATATGACCCTTTGACGGGAGTTGGCCGTTTTTTGCTTGATTAGAGGTTTCCCTATGTTACGTATCTCTACGCTAGCTTGACTAAATGCGTTGTTGGACAACATATACGCGGCTTCTTTGAATTCCTAAACCAGTGTTCTTCTTTGTGGATGATTTCAGCTTGAGCTCACTTGATGTTATGTTGATGAGTCCAAACATGCTCTGCTATTCCGGATTTGCTAGTTTATCCTCACTGTGTGTGTTTCTTGTGCTCAGCAATACGAACTTTCAATGATCTCTTAGTTTCACCGATGTATGATTCTCCGCACTCGTAACCGGTAAATGCAATTCTTGCAATCGCAGTCCGCGTTTGGTGGCCTGGTTTTTGTGAGGCTGATACGGATGATAGATTTCACTGTTTTGCTTCTATTCTGTTTTTACTATTTTTGGATGAAATAAAAAATACTGCGAAGCAACCATAAACTACTTTGTTTTTTTTTCATTCAACTACTAGTTACAAACCATACATGTTTGCCAACACAAAACTAAACTAAGAAACATATGTTCGAACTACACTCAGTAGATGGCGACAATGATTCAGAAATTATTATATCATCTTATTATTTTAACAACGAATATGTTCCCAGATCTGAAGCCGGCCCTGATGTTATACTTGACCCAATCCTTCTCATCCTTTCCTATAATTACCTGATTCAGGTTGTGGCGGCATCTCTTCCTGGTGGAGCTATTGCTGTCTTCTTCTAAAGCCTGTTCTACCATCACTCTGGAGTAACCATTCCGTTGAAGGTCATTTTTGATGATGCCTAGTTCCTTTTCGAGACCTTCCTTTGTATCACAGAGCCCGAAAGCACGGTCTACTGTGCGTTCCACTAAGCGTTCACAACGCCTAAAATACTCATTCAGGCGTTCCACATGGCGACCGCGATCGTTGTGGTCGCGGCGAAAACGTCATTAATGACGTCATTACTTATGCTCACGCCTAGCTCACGACGACCCATCTCAAGAGGTGGGTCGATGTGAGCGTTTTGAGAAACTGAGCGCAATTTTTAAAACTAAAAGCAGCAAACATGGCGACAACAACAATATCGTTCTATTGTGCCGAACGAGATACTGTTGTGGATCTCAAACTTTCTCCTGCAGATGCTGAACGTGCGTTAAATAAAAAAAGGGTTTAATTTTATACTTGTGAATTATGGTATATAATACGAAAATGGTTAATTTAAAAAAAATTAACCTATAAGAATCTGTTATGGCCATTTTCCAAAGAGCTATCATCAATTGATGACGGGAAGGAATTGTAGGACATCGGGAACACGTCGGACTAAATCTTCTTGTATCAGCTCATGTAAATAATTTAACGTACATCTTGAAAGTCTAAAGAGATCAATAAAGAATTCCATGAGTAAAATTTTCAAAATCTATAGTGTATTAAGTGATAAAAAATAATTTACCTGAAATGACTTTTAAATTCTTCATCTGAATGTCGAGTAATTACATTATCGTAATCAATAATACGTGGTCTAAGTTTTCGTTTTTCACGATTATATTTTTGTAAAATTGTATTCCATTCTTCATCTGAGCTGGAAGAACTAGTACTTTGTGGAGCATTATTTCGACGCACCAACAAATTTCAAACTGCCGCCGTAAAAGGCATTTTTATTATATACGAACATAAATTAGTTAAATACTCCTCTAAAATTTTTAGATGAGTATTTTGTTTAATAAATCATGTTAACCAACAATTAATAGAACTTATTGATAACACTTACAAATTGTAAAATAACCTCATCAACTTTTTGTTTTGTTTTTTTAAACGTGCCATGTGTATTATTTAAATGAACGTTCAAAACGCTCCAAAATCCATTCCACTTGAGTTAATGATTGTGACGCCCAGAACCAAGTGGAACGGCAAAAACCGTGGTCGTGAGCGTGGTCGTTGTGAGTGCTTAGTGGAACGCACTGCTAGTAGAGTCTTGATGATTCCTCTCTTAGTCGATTGATGGTGGTTGGATTTCTGGTTCAGATACTGTCCTGTCCTATCTTATTGGTTAGCGTGGGTGATTCATTCTACTCATTTTGATCATTATGAATTGGTTCGATCCCAACTGTGAGACGAAAAGAAAATACTACCGATCTGGGCCAAGAATCGCACGTTAAAAGATATGATATCGTTAATCCTAATTTCGCACAAGTTTTCTACTATACAATAACTAGGAAGCTATTGTATAGTGATATAGTGCATTCACCATAGTTATTTATTGTACAGTGAAACATCACTATCGATGTGAAAGATCAATATACAATAACTGTTCCTAGCTAGCACGTGTTGCTGTTTTGTAAACTGTCCAGTTGAATATGTAAATAGTGTTGATTCCAAAGAATACGCTGATTATGCGTATCGAGAAGTTCAGAGGAAAGGTGATTGTTGCAAGATAAACTGGCTGTCTAATTTCTAAATTGTCATGAAAACGATTCCTTTACAAATGAGAATCGGATAGAAATGAAAGATTTAGACTTTAAAGAACTCCCACTAATAAGGGTACCGCGGCTCTTTCGAAATCCTAATACATTCCAATTGTCCTTTTAACATCAAATACTAGAAATACTTTAACTATCGGAAATACAAGTGAAATCGGATAAGGAAAAATGGAAGATACAGAATGTCAATTTTGAAATGGAGTTTAGTGAAATGAAAAACCATTTGTCACAGTTTCTTCAGAACCAAAATTATTGATTACCTACTTACTTACCAAAAACAGAAAGATTTGAAAAAATAAAATTGAATTTTTCATCAAATATACAAACAATTGTTTGTTGAAGAAATTGCCGAATCAGAAAAACATTTGAAGAAGTGCAGTAGAAATCAATTGTCTGAAAGAAACGCTTTTTCAGTTAGTACTGAAAGGAACCTGTTGAAATTTCATGATATTCTACTCATAAGTATGTGAGTTATTACGCTAAGAGTGACAATACTTTTGTTATTTTCGAAACAATAGATCAAAAACAATTTCGTGTTTCAATTTTACCCTGCTACTTGATGGAAAAAATACCGTTCACGCGAAGCAATGGCTTAAAAAGTGTTATAAGGTCTCCGCTCCATCAGAAATAACAATTCAACGTCGGACGTAGAGGCACCAATGATGCAGAACGCAGTGGACGTCCAAATGAGACAGTTCGCCAGAAAACATAAAAAATCCACAAAATCGTTTCAAATAATCGAAACGTGAAGTTGCGTAAGTTAGCTGACATTGTAAAATTGTCAAAAGAACATGTTGGCTTTATATTGCATGAACATTTGACTATAAGAAAGCTCTGTTCAAAGAGGGTGCTACGCGAGCTCACTATTGACCAAAAACAAGAACGTCTTGATGATTCTGAGCAATGTTTGGCCATGTTTAAACACAACAAACGGGAAGTNACCTCTTTTCGTTGGAGACATTAGTGTAACAGAGGAAAGAGATTATCTTCTGTGCCAAAGTTAATTTCACTTCGTGATAGGAAGACTTCTCTAGCTAACACAAATATATAATTCATCTTCAAAAACTGCTCAACTTCCACTATATCGATCTATCTTTCAAATAACCGATTGTTTCTTTCAACAATGTATATTACAGTGATTCTGAGAAAATTATTATCAAATACTGAATGTTATTTTGATGGTTCATTGCTTTCCCAGAGTTTCCTCTTCCAGCCAGCAACAATGATCCGTTAAAATATTTAGATTATTCATCTAGACTTCTAGAGTACTTAACAAATTCCATATAAGTTTGGGTATTCATCCATGTCATCCATTCTTGAAAGAGATTGTTATTGATTTAAAAAACCTGGGAAGAAACACTGAGGGTTAAGGGTAGCGTTCTGATACCAGATGTTTGTCTATAGACACGACCTTTGAATGCATATTTCCAACCTTAAATATAATAAACGAAGAAGACAAGAAGAATTTAACCGGCTTCAATTTTTTAAGTGACGTGTATGCCGTATGAGATTTGCTTATAATGTTATTAAAATTAATGTTTTAAAATATCATTTTTATATAAAAGCCAGTACACGGTATACGCTTCTATTAGTTATGGATTCAAAATTTTGATAAAAGAAATTAGAAAGTCTTATATTTGCGAATTGTTTGTAAAATAATTACAAATAAAGGTGAAAATATTTATATTATATTACTGAAATAGTTCCTAAATTATATAAACTATAAACTATTTTTTTACAGATATATAAAAATGTTTGGACTAACAAAGAAAAATCCTTCCCAAACACAAAATGCAGAGAAACAAGAAACATTACTTACCTTGTCCATACTTACTTTGGCTGCAATTCTCTGTTGGTAGTAAAATTTAATAAAAATTCAACAATACAAAGGGATTTTTTTCAGCATTTGCCACAAGACTTTTTTCAGTCTTGAGATTTGAGAGCGTTATCCATGAATTTGACCCTTACTTTAATTATCGTACAACAAAATACTTGGCAGAGCAAGGATTTTATTCTTTTCACAATTGGTTTGATGATAGAGCATGGTATCCATTGGGCAGAATTATTGGAGGTAAATGTTAATTTTTCTCTAATCTTTTCACTGATCTTCCATTTGAAATAAATACCAAAGGGGGTAGGGGGTCTGCTTTGTCTAATTTTGATGACATGGAGACCGAGGGGGTCTAGATGGTAATGGTTGGGTTCTATTTCTTACAAATATAACAATATTTTACTTAAACGTGGAGGGGCAGAGTTTTACTAACTTTTAGTGATTAAGGGGGGTTAATCACAACAAATGACTAAAATTCTGCTTAATTTGATTGACTACTAATAATTTTGAAAATTATATAGAAATGACTGTCCTCTCAAGTTATTTGTCGTTTAAGTTGATAATTCTTCTATGTGAGATATATGTTTATTGTTGTAAGAAGTAAATCTTGTTAACAAACTTTTGAGCTATAATTTGGTGTTCAATTATTAATATAATTCTGTATAGAGTACATTACACAAGTAAAAAATAAAGTGATAAAAAACACTATACAGGAAAAAAAATTGAAGAATATATATGCAGATTACGTATCTGAGTTATCCTTAAAAAGTATATCTAAGATGTAACGAGCTTTTTGACTAAATATTTACTGAAAGTAATGGGTCAGATTCTTTAGGCTGTTTCAAATAGCTTATTATATATTTTTATTCCATTGCAAGAAGAATAGACAATGAAACTACTTACATTATGAACAGTTGCTTGCATGGATCAGTTTACTTGTCTCTAGAGATATCTTACCAAACATTTTTGTAAAATACAGAAAAATGTTGCATGCACCCTAAAATTTGTAAACATTTTCTGCAGCAGGAAAGTCAATTTTTTTGAGAGTATCTTTAGTGCAAAACAATCCAAAAAAGTTTCTAATTAAGATTGGCTGTATTTTCTCTGAAATTTCAGTTGTTCATCGATATTAATACCCAAAAATTTTGCAGATATGCAATATTTCTCATATGAATCGATCGAAAACATATTTTCATATGAATTTCTGGTAGTCTACACTGGAAGGTTATTATATTTGTCTTTTTTATGCTGAAACATAGAACGTTTGTGTCATTGATTCATTTCTTTGAGGTCATTAGTTTTGCATTAGTGTATGCCTTAGTTAATTTTTATTGTGCCATGAAAGTTAGATATCATCTGCAAAAACAGTGAACTCTCAGAAATTATTAATTAGCCGGGTTATGTACGTTCAGTAGAAATGTTTTTCAACAACTTGTTTTTGTATGTCATTTACTGATTTCTGGATAATAATAACATTAGAATACTTAACAGAATTGTCAACTCAGACATATAAAGTATTCAGTAATTTATAAATATTAACATGGTTATGTGGTTTGGATATTTTCCAAGATGCTTCAAATCATCTATTCAGTTTGTATTCCAAACTTCTCATCAACACCTTTTTGAACTTTCAAAGATGAAAACACGCTTTTCTCACACCAAAGGAGGAAATTTCACTCTTGTAATAATGACAGACCATAAAAACATTCATACGGGTAATTAATTTAATCCCAGTCATAGGAATTTAGGTCAAATTAAAAAGATAACATTTTTCAGGAGAGACTGGTTTTTGGAAAAATATGTTAGGGCTTCTTATTTCTCTACTAACAAAAAATGTGTTTAACTTTCGAATAATGAAAGAACTGTGCATAAAAATACACACACATCTCCAAATTTAGAAAAAACTTGTTTTTCACAAAGATATCATTCAGTTATTTTCATTCGTTTTGCCAGCATTGCATCATTTAATATATCAGCATACGCTTTAAGGGGCCGTCCATTAATCACGTGAGGCTTTAAAGAGGGGAGGGGGTTTCGCAAAAATCACGAAATATCCCAAGGGGGAGGGAGGGGAGGTAAGATATCACGTGTATTTACAACTAAAACTATTATTTTTCTTTCAGGAACTATATACCCTGGTCTAATGGTAACCTCTGCAGTTATTTACCACTTATGTTGGTTGCTCAACATTACAATCGATATTCGTAATGTTTGTGTATTCCTTGCACCCTTATTTTCATCGTTCACAACAATCATAACTTATTTGCTCACGAAAGAAGTGAAAAATGCTGGAGCAGGTTTGGTAGCTGCAGCGTTTGTATCAATTGTACCTGGATATATCAGCCGTTCTGTTGCTGGGAGCTATGATAATGAAGGCATTGCTATATTTTGTATGCTTCTGACATACTACACTTGGATAAAAGCTGTTAAGACGGGAACAATTTTTTGGGGAACTTTTAGTGCCTTGGCATATTTTTATATGGTGACTTTTGCTGAACACACTCTTCCATTGATCTATATATTACCTTTGAAATAAATTTTTAGGTTTCCTCTTGGGGCGGTTATGTTTTCCTCATAAACTTGATACCTCTACATGTTTTGACCTTAATGGCAACGGGAAGGTTTGGCCATCGTATCTACGTTGCATATAGTACCTTATATTGTGTAGGAACTATTTTATCTATGCAAATATCATTTGTTGGATTCCAGCCAGTACAAAGTTCAGAACATATGTTGGTGAGTTGAATTTGATTGATTTTCTGTTTCTGTGTTAATGCAGTAGATGCAAACCCATGTAGCAAAATTACATGGATGTACGATTCTCAGAATTAGTAGTAGTAGTATAATTTATATAGGACTACCTAATATACACTAATAAACAAACATTTAACTTAATCAAAATACATTCGCTTATGATTTAAAATACTTTTATAACCATAGAACTATAAAATTAACACTTATATTAGTATGTAGGTATATATATTTTTTTGAATGATGCAACTAATTTTCCTTTATTATCAGTATTTCAATATTAAATTTTACAAAAAGGATTTGAAGCTTTATATCTTCTATTAATTATCTGCGAGCGCTTTCGACAGTTGGTAGTATTGTCATCTTCTAGGCACTCCTCAAACTGAACTTGTCATCCTGTCGTCTGCTGAGTGACAATACTTTTGTTATTTTCGAAACAATAGATCAAAAACAATTTCGTGTTTCAATTTTACCCTGCTACTTGATGGAAAAAATACCGTTCAAGCGAAGCAATGGCTTAAAAAGTGTTATAAGATCTCCGCTCCATCAGAAATACCAATTCAACGTCGGACGTAGAGGCACCAATGATGCAGAACGCAGTGGACGTCCAAATGAGACAGTTCACCAGAAAACATAAAAAATCCACAAAATCGTTTCAAATAATCGAAAAGTGAAGTTGCGTAAGTTAGCTGACATTGTAAAATTATCAAAAGAACATGTTGGCTTTATATTGCATGAACATTTGACTATAAGAAAGCTCTGTTCAAAGAGGGTGCTACGCGAGCTCACTATTGACCAAAAACAAGAACGTCTTGATGATTCTGAGCAATGTTTGGCCATGTTTAAACACAACAAACGGGAAGTTTCACGTCGCAATGTGACAATAGATGAAACATGGATCCATCACTTCACTCCGGAATCAAAACGGTCCTCATCTGAGTGGAGAGCAACTGGTAAACCTCGTCCAAAGTGCCCGAAAGCACAACAATCGACTAGAAACCCCCGTTGCATCAAGGCAACGCACCATGTCACAAGTCAATCAAAACAATGGCAAAACTACAGTCAGATTTGACTCCCAGCTGTTCGCAGACTTCAAAAAAATGCTCACCGGTAAGAATTTATTCCTTTTCTTACAAGAGGAACCCGAGAGAAGTTGAAGTGAGTATTCTCCCATATAGTAGACGGCAGTCTATCTTATAATAAATGCTATTTATCCAGGGCTTGCAGGAAATTTCAAAGTATCTGCCACGGTCTACAGTTGTGATTTTAATCATTTCATGGGGAGAAAATTGTTATATTCTGCCATTGGTATTGCCAGATCTATACGACTTATGATGGATGCACTGTTTGGAACCTTTGGTGTAGTAATGAATATTACTGGAGTTTTTTCCCAACACCAAATTGTTATTTTTACACCTCGACACGTGTTTCGGTCACCAAGTGATCATCTTTGAAGAGGAAGATTAAAACTGTTTTAATCTTCTATAGATCTATATGAATCAATAGTTTGTATAGCCCTGGCCTATAATTTTGATGTTACTTGACATTGAGTTTAGCAAAAAAAAAAGATTTTCAATAAAAATCTAATAACTCGAACATTGGTTCAACAGTATGAATACACATTTCTAAACACTGGTTTCAACAATTCTTTTCCGTGAATGTAGAACAAAACTTTTCATAATGACTCGTAATTCCAGAACGCATCATTTAGCGAGTCTGTGACAAGATCATTATGTACCAGTGACAGCTTTCTCTAAGAT